TTCAACGGAAATGAGAAACGCCTGACGGTATGTTGGCCGTTTTCCTTGCTTTACCAAGAATCCGTAATTACACGGCAGCACACGCCACTGACAAGCGTTCCCGGCGTGTACATACCGGGTGTCGAGCGGCCCCGAACGCCGTGAAAAAAAGAAGCCGCCGTTACGAGATTAGTCCTTAGACGGTGTACCGGTCGTTTTTACTTTCGTGAGATTCACAGGTGTCCCTCGGTGGAAGCCGTTTTCGCTTATTCCACTGCCACTGTAATTGTCAGCTGTCCGTTCTGCCGCTTATTTCCACCTTCCACCTCGACTGCTTTTCCTCGAATCCTCCCAACCATTCTCCCTCCTCCTCCTACCGCTCCTCATCCCCCCCCCCCGCGCGTACTCTATCGCGGGAATTAAGTTTCGAACTAAGCGTCCATTTTCCTTCGTCTCGAACCTTCCCCCCCCTCTGCCACCGCTTTTCCCCAGTTAAGCGTCTCCCCCACTCTAACTGTTTCACGCGTGAATACACGTGAAATTCTTGCGCGAAACAAGCAATATATATGATGATACAATATTGGTGAAACAGTTGACATCGCCTCGGTGCCAGTTGGGCGGAATACACCTGCCCGTTTAAGCGCCCACTATGGACGCTTAACTGGGAATTACTGTAACTGAAAACTCGACGAGGGAAAAAAACTGTCGTGCTGTCTTCTGTAAGAGTTACGACATACTTTCACAGTGATCAAAGAAAAAGAATCATCAGAGAGAGTGGGTCGCATGGTGGGACGGATTGATGCTCGAAATCCTCGTTCTTTTACAGTCGGTAACAAGGAAATCTTTAAACGATTCAATTAATCACCATGGCAAGAGATTTATCTTCCGAATATGTGGAAAATAAGAATAGGAAATACATTCGTTTTTCATTGGTCCTTTTATCCTCGGTCGATGCATTCGTTTCCTTCCCATCGATTTTTAACTAATGACGTCGGTCAGAAGTGCTCCGCGGATTTAGGGGATTTACATCAGTCTGGGAAACGTGACGGATGAATCGAAACAGCGAGCAAGGAAACCAGAGAATTTATCGGTCGTCGACGAATTCTCGTTTCTTGCAACGTTCCTCAATCGTATCGTATCGACACAACGATCAAAGAAAAGAGCCGCAGTTAAAGATTGGAAAGAGTTTCCCCGAGTTCAACTTCCGCCGTTGCTCGTGACTTGGACTTCTTCTTTTATCGTTTGTATCCGTGGGGACCAAAGCAATAAACAGAGATCTATCTTTACTTCATTTTTTTATTCGTCAGACGAAATCGAAGAAATATTTCCAATTGTCGACGCTAGCCTTTAATTATGTCCAGCAAGTCCTTGAGCGTGAATTTTTTCAGAAATTGATTCAATAGGTTCTCAACAATCGAACTCGCTTTCTTGGATATTTCGCTTTGATAATCGTCGATGATACCAGGTAGTATATCTGAGATTGCTTTGCTCAAAGTCGCGGACAAATCTTCGTCGTCGAATAATCCGGTTATCTTCAACTGCAAATATTTTGAAGTTAGTCGTTTCACCTTGCATCAGTTGTTATAGAATCACGTACGCAACACTTACGTTGAATTCTTTGACATGGACGTTCAATACCACGTTTTTAGCTTGGATCTTCTGGTCCACGGTGCTTAGTTGTAAGTTTACCGACACATTCAGTTTCCTAATGTCGAGGCTGAAATTGGGAGAGAACAATTGCTCTTTCATACAGGCGTGTTCGATCAAAGGACAAATGATTTTAAAAAACTGGGTTTGACTTTAGAAAAGGAACTTTTAGTATTTAACAATCAGGCAAATATGAACTGTTGATAAACTTTTTTAAATAAAATCGTTTTGTAATATACGTACAGATAAATTGTTTTTGCACTACTTGATATTAGCAGACCAACAGAATGGTCTTTCAATTTAACACGACAGCATTTTACAAACTAGAAAAATTGTAATTCGCGGTGACTCGAAGAAAGTGAATCGATGCAGTTTGTCAATTACAGAGATCTACGACAGGGAATGAAAATATTCTATTTGGGTAACACTGCTTTACCGATGTTGAGAAACTGTAAAACCGACGGCGTTATATCGACAGGGAACGACAATATTCCATTTCGGTAACACTGCTTTACCGACGTTAGGGAACTGCAAAACCGATTGCAGACGGCGTTATCGACGGCGATTTACATAATAAATTTTTCGAATTCTCATCGGTCGTCTGAGCTTTGTCGTTTCGTTCAAAGATGCGGTTACCGGTTCGGTGAAAAAGAAAAAGTAAAAGCACGTCTTTTCTCTTTTTTCTTTAAATACAAATTAGTGTAAGATTATGTATATATCATAGGCCAAATACAGGCCTGAAGCTAATAAATGAAAAAAAAAAAAAA